TCAATTCTTTCTTTGGTCTGATCACACATTTATTTCCTGATGTGATCTTATTTATACCCTTTTCAAATACTTTTATTAAAAATAACTTTAGCTTCCATGATATATTTAAACTGTAGTACTGTTTCTTTACTAAAGTTCTTCATAAATCTATAAGACATCTATTCTCTATAAAATCTAATTATTAACCTTTGTGGGCGTACGTCCAAAGACACCATCAAATACCCTTTTCAAAGAATGTCTGCCATCATATAAAGGATATAGACCAATCACAATGAAAGCAAGATAAAGCCAAACAAATCCCATGACTGTACTACCTCTGAAGAATGCCTTTGACCAAATATAATCACGATAAAGTGGTAATGGCCATACCACCCATGTAACTAATAGAACAACAATTGAAAAAGTATAAAATATGATTCTATATTTTTTAATAAGACTTTCATCTGCTTGAACAATGACAGGTTCACCTTGATCATTTTCATTTGAAGAACCAACTTCTTTTGTTACTATATCATGGTCATTTTTTTCGTTCACTGAATTTGAATCTTTATCACTATCACTTTCTTCAACAGCAATCAATTGACTCTGCTTAGTTAATTCATTCCAATCATAGTTTGCAGGCTTAATCAAACTGATCAAAACCGTGGAGATACCAGGTAAGATTAATGCAGTTAATCCACCATAAAGACAAGGTAATTGTTGACCTGTAGTTGAAATAGTAACTTCACCATATAAACCATAAGCTGAACCAATCCAGACAGCAAGACCTCCAATAATACCCAGTATTGGACTTATTATGAATGCTAATTTAGTTTGATGTTTCCAAGTTAACAAGAAAATCATTGGTATAACACCAGGACAATTCAACATTGAATAAAAATAACCAAACCATGTCATATCAACACCAACATAATGTAACATGATGGAGAATCCTGCAGCGAAAAGCCCAAAGAACACAACACCTAAATGACTCACAGTGATTAATTGTTTATTTGTTGCATTTGGTTCGATATAGTTTCTATAAATATCAAAACTTATAATTGAACTAACAGAAATCAATTGAGCACTCACGGTAGATGTAACACTAAGATAAATTGATAATAACAAAGCACCAAGTGCACCAGTACCTAATAATGCCTTTGTAGTATAAATCAATCCAAATCCAGAATTAACTTCAGCAGTCGTCATTTTATTTGGATATGTTGGGAAGATTGGTAAATCTTCAATGATAACATTACCTAACCCTAAGACAATACCCAAAGCCCAAACATTTGCATAGATCAACACAGCTGCAATTAAATAACCTGGTACACTTGCTCTTAAATCGGCACTGAATGATTTTTGCCAAAATGATGAATCCATAATAGTTAATCCAGTATCACCAATTGAATGGATTAAACCAAAGAAGACTGCACCTTGAGATTTAGCTGTTAAAAATGAACCTTTAAAATTCCCAGCAATATGTCTTAATTCACCAGCTGCTTCCTTCTTGATAATCTTGTCATAAAGTCCATCAATTCCACCTATATGTTCACTTGAAATAGCCGCTGTATTGATATAACATAATATAATCAACAAGATGAATGAATGAACGTAATCTGTAAGAAAAGTTGATTTCAACCCACCAACAGCTGTATATAACAAAACACCAAATGGGATCAATAATGTAGCTGCTACAATATGTAAATTATCACACATTGCACTAATAGCACCAGCAGCACCCAAAATCATTGAACTTGCAGAAACCAAATTATTAATCAAACATAAAATCATATAAATAACATGACCTGTACGTCCATATCTTAATTGAACAATCTCTAAACATGTGTGACTTGTAGGTATTTTCTTCTTAGCTTCAATCCCAATAACAGCAAGGAAACAAATTTGTATAGAACTACCAGCAGCATACCAAAATGCACTTTGAACACCATAAAGATAAACCATCGTAACAACCCATAATAATGCAGTTGCCCATGTCCAGCTTGAATAAACTGCACTACCTGTTAGACCAATCCCAACTGAACGATTTGCAACCATGAACATTTCTGTTGATTCTGAATTTTCATTTAGATATTTATTACTTAATTTTGTTGCAATTATGATGAAGAGAGCGAAAAATGCACCAACTCCAATAAGAACCCCATATCCTGCACTTTTTGGTAATAAGTCAAGTGATTCTGACATATTGAAATGTTAAATCTGATCGTATATGGAAAAATAATCAAATTTCGATCAAATTGCAAGTATGCGATCTTTTCAGGATCTTTAGGAACTTGAATGTATTTATATGATTGACAACAACCGTTATTAACCCATTGATCATCCAATCAAAACGCCATCGTTATACCAAATAGTAGCTGTACCTGGATTCTGGAGGCTTGAATTCAAGCAACATGTCAATAAAATTTTGACGTTTAATTGACAAATTGTGGCACAACTTAAGCCCGATTGTTGAATTATCAAAAGCATTATTGGAAGCGATATTGAACTTTTTGAATCGTTTTGAAAGAGAAATGTGTGTATATTGACATTATGTTGTTCAACTTGAACAGACTGTGATTTATAGAGAACTATTTGATCATTTTCAAATAGATTGATTTGTTTAACCAATTTGTTCTTCATGATCGGGTCAAATTGTGGCACCCGATATGAGTCTGATTAAAATACCTGTGGGATCGTCAACGGTGATATAATTTTGACTCTGAGGCTTGACTAGATTATCATGATTATACCACTAAGGAAAGAATCCATCAAAGAGTTAATAGATCTATTAACCATGCGCTTGAATTGAAACAGTCTTTCAAAATAAAAAGTTCAAATGTTTTTTTTTTACAAAATTGTTTATTGTATACATACTTATGTAATTCTTCTATAAAATTGTTAAAGACACTCTATTGAACTTTTGAACTATACTAATAG